TATTACAAAAAAATTCAGGAATGGATCAAATGTGAAAGGGTATTATTTATGGTCATTTGTTGATCTATTTGAGTTTTTGGCCGGCTATAAATCAAGCTATGGGCTCTATTATGTGGATTTTGATGATGTGGAGCGCAAGAGGGTGCCAAAGCTCTCAGCACTTTGGTATTCCAACTTTCTTAAGAATATTAAGGGAGGTGTGGTGGGAGGAAAATCCCTTGCTTCACAGTGATGGTGAATTGTACTTGGAAGATATTGCTGATTTAGACTTATTATTATTAGTTTATGGGTCTTTGTCTTTTATGTGAAAAATAACTTGGCATAAAATGATGATTTTCTTCACATGACAGGCCCCTTGGTTGTAGGCTGATTTCTCAATCTGCCATTTATATGCTAATAGATAATGTTTTTCAAAATGATTGTAAAATACCAATGTTAAGCTCTTGTACAATATCTTTTCTACTTTTTTTGTGGTTGTTTTTGTCATGCTTTTGATTTTCTAAAACTTCCAAATTTAAAATATTGCTATATAAAATAAAACAAAAGTATATATATGTGTGTGTGTGTGTGTGTCCGGTGGCCTGTTGGATGACAGTTTCAGCATAAGTCATCTCTGTACCAGGTTCGAATCTATCTTGGTCGAATTAACACATATGGGGTGAACAGACATATTGATGTCCATCTTTAAGAAACAAAATAATAAAATATTATATATATCTTTGTGTCTGTGTAATTTCCATTTATTATATATGATATATTTTTTCCATTTATTTTATTGTTTGTCATATCTATTCTTTTATATAGAATTTTACAATCGACCAAATTAAAATGCATTTTGATAGAAACCATAGTTTATTGCTGAGATTTAGAACCTATATTTATTGATAGATTTTCTGTCAGCCATCGATAATTTCCCGCATACAATCAGATAAATAAAAAACATGTGAAACATAATTTTTTTATGTAAAAAGCTCTCATGTATTGGAAAAGGCCAATAGATTATGATAAACTCAAGTAATAGTGAGCCCAAGTTCATCAAAGAAGATAGCTGAGATCCAATTCCGGTGTCAACATTTGAGATATGCCTCCTTTGATTTTTTTTCAAAGTGTTCTTTTCTTAAATTATTTTGAATTTAAATTAATTTAATTTTAAATGTAATGTATGTTAACTTATACAAATTCATCATGCTTTATTTCTTCTGATTTTGAGTAAAGTCATGCTCCTTTTATGATATTTACTCTAACATTTGTGGATGATCTCTAAATGGTGATATAAATATAACTTCCTAAAATTCCAGATGTAACACTTCAATATCTGTAATGAAGAAAGAAAAACTAATAAAAATACTGACTGTATGAATCCTTGCTTTGCATACAAAACAACCCTGCAAGGCAGAGTGTTCAGGCATCAAATTCATAAAAAATTACAAACAGCTCTTAAAAATCTCAACAAGTTAGATTGCCATAAAATATCAATTCAACCTCTCATGAAGTAATATAATGCTTCCTCTGAACATCGTATCTCTGACACAGCTTCTTCAATGTTGCTACTGAATGCTGCATCAAATTCAACTTCGTATCCCTAAACATTGCCTGAAAAATACAATATTTTTAGGATATTAAGTTTAGAGGGATGAACGCTCAAGATTGCATATCCGAGTAACAGAAAATGGAAGAATTAAGAAAATGAAGGCTTACTTGGTAGTCATCTCCATATTTCATAATTAAATTGCCAACATGAACCCTTTGCATGGTTGTCAAAGGCTGCAGCTGTGCAGTTTTCCCGTCCCGCCGCTTCTTCCCTAGAGCAGTTTTCAAGTCTGTTGAACAAAGGTCAGTCATAATTCAGGAACTTGTTTATCAATCTATATAAACAAAAAACTTAAATAAGAAAGAAGGAAAGTAAATAGAATATACAATTCAGAAAAAAATCATAAAATATGCATCACCAAAATATTAATCTTCAACAAAAAGAAAATAGAGAATGCATGCTTCTTTTCTGAAGGGGACTTGTCCAGGCATCGCAATCCCTCTTTCACCAAATATAGTGATGGTAACG